TGCTATCAGCCATCAAGACTAAATCATCTGCATACAAAATCTCAAATAACAACCCATCCATTATGTTTCCACACACAACATCCATCACAATTGCAAACAGAAACGGTGATAACACTGATCCTTGATGCACTCTTACCTTAACACTAAAAGCGTCCGACATCCCCCTTCCAACCCTCACCTTTGTCTTTGCCCCTTCATACAGCTGCATCACAGCTTCAACAAGTCTCTCATTCACTCCTTTCTTCCTCAACGCCCATTCAATGACTTTCCTCGATACTCGATCAAAAGCCTTTTCTAGATCCACAAAACACATGTACAATCTTCGTTTCTTCTTTCTATAATTCTCCTGCAACATTCTCACCATGAACAACGCATCCACCGTTCCAATACCAGGCATAAACCCGCACTGCATTTCATTAACTGTCACTTTAATATGACCAGTGTAGATTAATTAATTAATACGGTTCAATAACTTTGTTACGCAACCGTGACAGCTTTTAAAAATTTTATTATAATTTAAACAAGTTGAAAACATGTTTAATGTGCTATGAAATATTGTTGAATTACTTGAAATCAATTACATATTAGAAATCAAAATGGATGGAGCAAAAAATTTATGGAACACCTTCCCTACCAAATTCTTCATAATTTTCGTCGATGGTTTTCTTCTGTTTTAAAGCGTTCTGCTGTTGAATCTCTGGAAGAAAGTTCGATAGGGCCCAAGCAGTTGCACCTTTTTCTCGAGGCTGACTTTCTGTTTGATGAAATAAGATTGTTAGTTGTAAATTTCTATGCTGTGCTTCATGGGAACTAACTACTCTTTCAGTTTCACACCAAATATTTTGCAGAAGCTCCATATTAACAACTCTTTTCGAAAACAATGAATTATGAAACACTCACCACACAACAAAACTTTGTTATTACGGACACATTCAAGAAGTACCTCTGTTTTTAAAGTACAAAAGTTTATAACCCCAACATTTTTACATTCTTTTTTGTAGAGATATAACACAACATACTCAAATATAATGTACTTTCCATAAAAAGTACCAAATTTCTGTCTGTTGAAAAAAACCATTATATTTTTTCGTCGTATAATGTACACTGAAAAACTTTTATTTGTTGAAGACAATTGAACAAATTAATAAAATAAATTAAGATAATTGCTATTTCAATAGATTACCCACGCCATGCGAGTGTCAGTTTGTCCACAAAAACATAATTTAAGCTTAAACCAGGCCACTTTCTACATGGTATTTAATTGATGGATTTTTACTGTTTTGCGTTAGTCTCTAAATTATCAGATGAAGTTTAAAAAAACACACTAGATTTCTCTTAATCATTAAAATATTTTAATTCCAATATTTAAACCTTTTTATTGTTATTTAGTTGTAAAATGCAAACTTTTGAATGCATTAGTACGGTAATGATAATGGAAAAACCAAAAAATTTCGCTTCTTATATAATTAAAGAAGTGTTAAGCGAATATAGAATAGAAAAAACGAATTACAAATTTGTCACTTGAGCAACTAACCTGGAACATTAAGGGAAGAGAGTGATCTCTGTGTGAAACCGTGCAGCTAGAAATGTTGAAAAATTCATCTAAACATTGTAAAAATAAAAATGTACACAGTATTATAAGCCATCACTGACGGTTCTTTAAACATAAATATTTTCCTATATAACCATATCTTAGTTATATATGAACTAAATAAATATTAAACATTATTTTGTCTTTTCCAATCAGTTGAGATACTCACTTTTATCGACACTCGTCGACGTAGTAACAAACGTCACTTGGAACTTTTACATTATTATTTCCCCTTACTATAACTTCTAAATAGAAAATACTTTAAAAACACTTTTAAACGGTCAATGTAATTGTTTTTCTGAGTAAAATTACCTTTTTTTTATGTTTTATAATACAGTTAACAAAATTATGTGACTTATCAAACATCAAAACTGACTTAATAAATTGATGAATTAAGTTTGAAAGGAGTTCAGTGAAAGCAAAAAATAAATGACCAACATTACCTTTTTTGCAATAAGACTTTTGTGACAATATCTCCGTATTTTGAAAAGGTTCATGTTGTCTAAACGACAATGGAATAAGAAATCATAGAGCGTCATTATCTTGCTTGAAGAAGCTTTATTGAAATAAACATCAAATTAAACTTAAAATCTAGCCTCTTGCAACTTATACAAATTTGTATAGATAAGAACTAAGTATAATTCTATCAGTTTTATGTAACTAACGGATATTTGTTGGGACTGTTGGATTCTGTTTGTGATCTGGAGGTTTGCCTGAACAGAAACAAATAAAAAATAATAAAAAACGGAGAGATGCATTAATGTTAATTTAAGTGTTTATAATCTTGATCGAATAAATTAAGCAGTGAACCACTTCGAAATTTACCATTCCAGTAAATAAAAGAAGTGCATTATCAACAATTAATCAATCTTCGTTTAGCGTCCAGAGACCCAGTTCCTAGAGGTAGGACGTTGTTTTCTTTGCCATCAATTTTTTGCGTCAAATTAGACGATCAGTTGTATCCATTTCATTTAAATTGAGAGCTTTCATGTCTTGCTCGATTGTTTGCGACCAGGACTTCTTTGGACAGCCTTTGGGACGTGTGCCAGGTACTTCAACATCTGCAAGAGAAGTTATGGCACTGTTTCCACTTCGTTTGGCATGACCAAACCACCGCAGACGGTGTTGCCGGCATTCGTCCTTTATATCTAAACCAGAACGAGGCAGGATTTCGGTAGATTTGATGTGGTCCTTCAGACTAATTCGTTGCATCCATCGGAGCATTTTCATGTCGGTTCGTTGAAGTTGTTGTTCCAGTTTGGTTGTCATTGGCCATGTTTCTGCACCATATAACAACACTGGACGTATCACAGATTTATAGTCTTGATCGTAGTGGTAGTGGGATGTCACGCCGCATCAATTTAGAAGCAAGAAGATGCCATTTATTCCAGGCTGCACGTATGCGTGCTCGAACGGCAGTTTCAGCTGTTCCAGTACAATCTAGATATTGAAACGATGTGACTTTCTCTACCTTAATGGCTTCAAAAACATTGCTATTTCGTATTTGCATTATCAACAAAAGTGCATTAATTTATTTTTTTTTATTTCTTTTAAAATAAAAAAACGGAATATTTGGTGAACAATATTTAAAACCTCCAAAAACTTTAATGAAGCTGTTGATGATGAAGATGAGCTGGTCGATATAAAGGACATTCTTTGCTTTCAGTTTGTTTTTGTATCTTTCCAAATATTGCATAAGATGACTGTGCGTCGAGCATAACTGTTGCAAAATTTAAAAAATTAACAAAATAAAGTGTTGAATGATCAATTAAAATCTAAGTTTATCAAAAGCGCATACAAATGTAAAAAACAAAATAAAAAACAAAACAAAAAACAACAATTGTCGAATTTAACAGAAAAATAAATCGAAGCGTTATATAGATCCATAGTTAATCAACATTGTGGTTTATTATCACAATATGGAAGAAAAGTATCCAGATAAAATGTGTCTATTGAGAAGCTATCAATACTAGGACATTTTAACATTGGTATGGCAAACATTTAACGGTCTACACAATCATTATGTAAATCATTTACGTATTTACACAACATTCACCTGCAAACCAGACAGTTCAATGCTGTGCATTTGGCTTATGGAATCTATGAGATTGTGTCCTTCATCAATTATTACGATGTTGTTGTCAAGTACGATGCCCGAAGATTCACGAGTCCACTTGTGCAGCAGTGTGTTGTAAGGCAAGACGACCAACTTCATTTTAAAATGATTTCGTAAGTAGGAGGTTAAATGAAGAGATAGTTCAGAAAGAAAAATTTTGAAGGAATGTTTGAAAGTTTAAAAAAATTTAAATGTTTAAACAATGTGGTTAAAACTATAATTGACAATAAATGACCCGAGCAGAAGGAACGGCTCTCCTTGAAGCATAATATGGACATGACTTTGACTGTTTGCCCGTAACAACTAAGTCCTCAATGTCTTTCACTTCAACCTTTATGAGGAGTCATCACGTGATATAAAACCATCCACTAAACAATTTCATAACAATGTTTTGTCCAGTTAACTGACATATGTCTTCATTCAATGACACAACTGTCGACAAGAGTCCCACTTACTAACCAGCAGCCTATCTCTCAACTCAGCAATACCATCAAGCTTGTAGAAGGGACACGTGCTATTTTGCTGTCTGGTCCTCTTCTTTGATGGCTCACTTGATTTGGTCTTTGCTGTTTGGGAAGAAATAATTCAAATTTATTAGGTTAGAAAAATTGATTAGAAAATTACTTGAAATATTAGATATTGAAAATTTTAATTAATTAAAATAAAATTGTACAAAGAGTAATAAATAAATCTTTTTATAAAGAATTTATGAATATTTTATTTAAATATAATAATTCTTTAAGATAAGTACCATTCTTCTGCATATCGATGCACTTTTCATTGATAAGTGATAGGGATCCAAGCCGTTTGACCACATTGTTGATACATAGATTCTGAAAAAGAAATAATATTCCACTATAAAAAATTGTCAGAAAATAATAAAAAAATGAAATTTCAAGCTGAATACTTCATTCCAAACCAGCACCAAATTTATTTTAATTTTTTTATAATAAAAAAAATATGATCCTAGTTTAGATTCAATATATATATATATATATTTTATTTAACAACTGACCAGAGGGCATCAAGATGCCTCTTACCCATTCAGAAAAAAATGAACTAAATTCAACATAAATAGCAGAACAGAAAAAAAAGAAAATGTTCTATAAAAAAAAGATAGATACCACATGTATCTATCACATATCACACACACACACACACACACACACACACACACACACACACACACACACACACACACACACACACACACACACACACAAACACACACACACATAATATATATATATTATTGATGAAAATAACAGTACGTTCGGCGTTTGTTAACCTCCAATTTAACTTTTTGGTTTTTCTAACGATTGATCGTAAATCATTTTCAAGTTTCTTTAGTTCAAAAGCAAAATTTTTGTTTATTTTATGCATGATAGAACAGAAAAGCTTTTTTCGGTATTTCTATACCACCTTCGATATTCAAATTGATATGTTGTGGTTGTGCCCAGATGATCAAACATTTTTTTTTACAGGCACAGTACTGGCGCTATAAAGAATCACATGAAAGAGAAACACAAGACTAAAATCACTAGACAGTCTTTATTCAATATATATATATATATATATATATATATATATATATATATATATATATATATATATATATATATATATTTACAATATTCTATAAATTCTACCGAATGTTTGGCGTTAATATGTTTGTAGTTCGTTTTTTCAATTTTTCCCACTAAAGTTTTTTGGTGAACGTTTAGTTTATTAAAATTCAAAATAAACTTATTTAACCAAATAAGGCCATATTTCGATTCCGAATGAATCATCATCAGTGCTTTCTGCTGTTTATATAGGGAAATATAGGCTTTGTTTGCAGCATGAATTCGGAAAATAAGTTTATTTTGAATTTTAATAAACTAAACGTTCACCAAAAAATGTCCTGGTTATGATATTAAACTGACCCTCACTGCCTTGTGAGTGATGTTGGATCATCAAAGGCTAGGCCCACCGCTTATAACTGTGGTTGCGTAAGGAAGAGCGTCCTGCGTAAAAATTAGCCAAATAAATTACTTATGATGACAGAAGTGACAATGGTTTCATCATAGGTAGCCAAACGGCAACCCCCGATCTTGGGGAAAATGTCGTCTAAACGTGTGTTGTTGTTGTTATAAACGTTCACCAAAAAACTTTAGTGAGAAAAATTGAAAAAACGAACTACAAACATATTAACGCCAAACATTCGGTATTATATATATATAATAGATATAGAATATAATGTAATAGACCATAATTTTTACAATATTCTATAAATTCTACCGAACATATTAACGCCAAAAATTCGATAGAATTTATAGAATATTGTATAAATATATACATATATATATATATGTATGTATGTTGGAAGACCATATTTTATATAGTATTGTATGAATTCTACCAAATTGTTGGCATTAATCAATTTTCAATTTATTGTTTGTCTTTTCAATTTTCCTTACCAGAATTTTCTAGAAATTGTTCAATTTATTGAAAAGAGAATTATTATCCAAGTTTATTATGAAAATTTAATAAAACTGTTGTTATCCCAATTCATCATGTAGATATGCCTAATGAACAATTTTTAAAAAATTCTAGCAAGAAAAATTGAAAATAGATTGACGGCATTCCCCCAACAACACTTCAGTCATTAACACTGTTTCTATCATTACCACATTTCTTTCAGTCACCACTCCACCCACGATTTCAAGCAGCCCCCTTACTCATTCACCATCTCACCGAACGTGAACCAAGCGTCGTCAGCCTGATCTCGTCAGCGTAAGGACTGTTCTGTACTTCGTGTATGAATTGGGACAGCTGGCTGTGCGTTCGACTGCAGTAATATATCTGAGGTGTGAATAATTAGGGAGTTGATATATCTGGGAAAGCTGGTATATATGAAAAAATATGTGTCTAAAAATAGCCGATTTTAAAATACCGCTTTTTTTCAATTTAAGTGTTGAATCGAGCAAATGAAATGATGAAATGATTTAAAAACTGTGTAAAATCAATGAACAAGCCTTAAATCATTGTTAAGTAACCTTGAGGACATGATCATCTTTCATTGGATCATCATCATCATCCCCTCCATCATCACTATCATCTCTAATTTTGCTTGGTACATCGTTATCATCATCACTGACGTAATCAGTTAAGAGGATGTCATCATCTTCAGCAGCTTCATCAGACTCAGGTGCAGTGACGACATTTAGGTCACTCGAATTGTTGAAGAGTTCCTTGAACTGTTCATTCAATGCATCTCTCTGCAGTATACAGCAGCATATATAACTAGTATTTGAAACAGTTACAAAATTTTAACTTCATATGTAAATAATCCTTATTGAAAAAAAAATCTTTGTTGCAAAATCATATAAAAATGGGCGAAATGTGGCAAAAAGGATGGTGCAATGCAAAGATTGCAAATGATGAATGGATGGTTTGGTGAGATGAACCAAATAGTAGATAGTAAAGTTGAACAGTAATATTTTAATTCATCGAATTTAAGAAATCCCTTTTGCATACTACTGATCATACGTAAATCTAACAGACAGGGAAGGCTTATTATAAAATACCTAAAATATTACGCTGACCATCAAGTTTTAGATGGCACAATAGGGCTAGAAAAAATTTACAAAACACTTACTTTTCTTTTTGCCAGCTTTATGTTAGACTTTATTTTTTCCAACTTTTCTTCACGTTTTTTTCTAGATTCATTTTCCTCCTAAAAAGTCAATTTTAATATTCATTTACATTTGTTATATTACATTACAGCCAATCAACTAACTAACCAGCCACTCAACCAACTAACAGGCACCTCAATTATTACACCATCTCATTGTTTTTACATTGCAATAACAATGTCCAACCAGCCAGCCAACCAACTGGTCAGCCAGCCAGCTAACCAACCAACCAGCCAACCAACCAGCCAACCAACCGGCCAACCAACCAGTCAGCCAAACAACCAACCAACCAGCCAACCAACCAACCAACCAACCAACCAACCAACCAACCAACCAACCAACCAACCAACCAACCAACAAACCAACCAGCCAACAAACCAACCAACCAGCCAACCAACCAACTAGCCAACCAACCAAACAACCAACAAACCAACCAACCAGCCAACCAACCAGCCAACCAACCAACAAAACAACCAACTGGCCAGCCATCCAACCAACTAACCAGTAGTGCTTGTGCTCTAGCTACTTCTTCTTGTTTCTTTGCAACTCATTTATCCAATCTTCACTTGCTTCAACATTTTAATTATTTAATAAATTATATAAAAACATAGCTTTATGACAATGATGTCAATCAAAAGAAAATTTCAGTTTAAACACTATACCTTCCGACTTTACTGATGTGCCAGTTTTTGTTTTGTCTGAGCTATTGAACATGAAAAATAGAAATTTATTTATAGAATATTTTTTATGACTTAAAAAATCTACCTTTTATCTAATAGTTTGTTCAGTTCATTCATACTTCTATGCTCGTGATGCTTCAGCCACAAGAGGGAGCCACAGATCAGACTGAGGGACTTGCCCTGGAAATATAACAACGAAATGCAAATACAGTTGCACTGAAATGCAATCCAATTGACTTATCATATTAGAAAATTGTGTGAATGTTGGTTTCTGATTATTGTACATGAAAAGCAAGAAAGTACACCATACAATTAAGATTACCATCATAAAACATTTAAAAAAAAAAAAAAAAATTTTATCAAAAAGTTTTCATTGAACACATCACAATCCTTCACAGTAGCCATAATTAAGTGATCATCAAATAATGTGACAGGCCCTTCACATCACTTCTTTCAAAATCAAAAACTTTGCCTTTACACTGGTTTTTAGTGCTTTCAATTAAGGATCCATATAAATTGCAATGTGGTAATTACGCATATAATGACATCATTATCGGATAGAAAACAATAGAAATGCATTTTTTCCTAAAAATGTATGAACAAGATATGACAAAACAAAATTATAAATATTAATCTGAAATTTATAAAACAGTCAATATTTTTTCAAAATTTTTTAAATGCATTTAAAGTTTAAAAAATCTAATAAAAAAGCCTCTAACAGTGCCTGTAGGACTTTCAAAGATCCCAATTTTTTTCAGTTCAATAGTTTCGTACAACTTCCTCATGAAGGCCAGCTGAATATCGTAGGGAGGGAAAGGAAAAGGAAATACCTGAGGTACTTCAACATTCACTTCTGTTTCGGTTTTATAGTTTTTCAATTAAATCATCACCAGTATTTGAAAGTTTCATTTGGAACAAAACTCAAGATTGTTAGTTACTAAAGTAAGTTGGGACAAATGTGAAAAATTTTGTAAACATATTGAATAAGAGTACACTGAAAAATCTATTGAAAAATATCTACAAATAAATAAGTAAACAAGTACATTTCAATAAGTATGCTATTTTCATTAAATATAGTCATGATCAGAATAAGAATGATGAATGTTGTTATAAACTGGCTGTAATTGCGGCACGGTGGTTGAAGAACTGAAAAATACCTTTTGACCATGAATAAGCATTAGTTTGAAACTAATGACCAGTTGCTGTAACTTAGTTGAGAAAAATTATTTTACTACTATTGTGAAATTATAGTTTGCATATTAGGGTGGAGTGAAAAATTTTTTTTTCGAAATTTCAAATGCCTGTGTTGTCAAAAGATGTCTTTTAGGTCAATTAATAAATCACTAAAATTTAAACCACTTTTGTATACGTCTTGAGGTTCCTCTAGGCTCCTTTAGATTTTCACTATTAACACAAGTAAAGTTTCGACTATTAACGTATAAAAATGGTCGATTCTGCTCAAAAATACTACACAGTACACAACATCTCCTAAAACTCTTGATTATGCTTAGCAACAATGAAAACTAATATATAAATCTGAAACAATTCAATTTCATTAGTATGCACATCTCTAATTTTTGCTAGATTCCTTTTCGAAGTTACCATTGACGACCAAACTGATTTTATACTTTTTTTTCAAATATAAAATGCCTAAAACACGTAAAGAATTATTTTGTGAAGTTTTTGGTTTACCTACTGATTTGCTAGGAAATGTCCTTCCTACAAACTCTGACGTAATGAAGTGTTATTTGTGGAATAGGAATTTGCTAAAAGAAAGTGCCAATGGAAAAGATCCTAGCGTAAATAACATTTCGTGACTTATTTTAACCGAATTAAAACAGATCTGGCAAAAAGCATCAATTCCAATCATTTCAGATCAAAGAATTTTAAGCTTGATAGCAAATCTGAATCAAAAATATAAATCAATAAAAAAGAACATGAGAAAGTCCAAGAACAATGAAAATGAAAAGAACAAGAAAAAACGCTCGCGTTTAGAGAAGTCAGTGAGAAAACTTTGTTTGACATATCTGCATGCAAGTGTGGTGAAGATTTTGATAATTGTTTTTGTAAAAACAAAGTGCCTAAAAGAGAAAGAGATTTTTTAACCGACCAAAGAACAGTGCGTAAGATGATAATTGGCAATACAGATAAAAAAATTAGTCAAAGTCTACAGAAAAGTCTGGCGAGAAAAGCCAAAGAAGAAGCCAGATTGTCGAAGATTGAAGGTCCTTGTGCAAAAAAACAGAAATGTGACAACCTGGCTTTCGATGAAGTTGAAGAAGTTGAAGAAATAAAACAAATCAATTTTCCACCTGACTCTTCAGAAGAGTATAAACCATCCACACCAAGCCAGCTTAGAAGACCTTCTCCATCAAATTTTAGAAAAAGTGTTAAATTGCCTAACTTAGCCCAAGCGTGTGATCGAACTGGAATATCCGATCGATCGGCTTCACTGCTAGTCAACGCTGTTCTCCAAGATTTGCAAATAATAACAAAAACAAATTCATCTCAAATAGTGGATAGAAGTAAAATTAGGCGCGAACGAACAAAAAGAAGAGCCCATCTCAAAATAG